GAACCTGCAGATAAAAAAACACAGTTGGACATGCAGGGACTGAGAAAGAAATGACAGTATGGGAATTGTCGCATGTCGCTGGAATCATTGAAAGTGGTTAGTAGTCAAATAGGCAACTACTCAAGAACACAATTCGCTGCAAGAATCATGCCTTGTGTCTGACTAAGAAAAGCTTAGCAAAATGAGAAATGATAATCTTGAAAACAATTTCACTGCGCAGTTGCATACAAAATACAAACATTTTTATCTTTTTAAATAATTGCACCTTTTAAGCCAAGAGTTAATTTCACTGATGGTATTTAATTATGACTTTGCATTTCTTATTTTTCTCTAAAAAAAATTATTTAAAAAAGTCGATTATTGACGCCATGAAATGTACATATATATATATATATATATGCGCGCGTGTGTGTGTATAGAGAGATAAAGAGAGAAAATTTGTCTGAGCGTAACAATTATGATTTCCATGAAGATTTAAAGATGAATAAAAAAAAGTAATTTATTAAATGATATTCAAAACAAACTAGAATTGTTCTTTTAATCTTCATGTTTCAATGTTAAGAGAATATATATATATATATATATATATATATATATATATATATATATATATATATAAAGGACAAATAGGAAACGTTTATCAAGCTAACGTTTCACTTTTATTAAAGCTTCACCAGAGAATGTGATATAGAGAAAAAGAAGATAGAAATTCTGATATTTTTATATTTGTGCTGTTTGACATGACCCATGACATTGGTAAGTCAGGTTTCACGGTAATTCGACTTGTTAAACAACCGTTAGTATAATTTGTGGATTTCCGAATTGTAAGAGAGAAGGCGCATTCATACGTTGCAAGCTTAAGTTTGTGGAATGAAGATGATAATTTATATTTGTAAGTGTGTGTGTCGGTGTATTCTAGTGTATTTTTGTATGTATGCTTGATCGTTTTTCTTCAGCAGGCCGATTGTTATTAACTTCAGTGTTTAAGAAAAAACGAGAACAAACTAAAACTGGGAGAACAACTTTAATACGAGTACCCACTAAAAATAACTTTTATTGTAAGAAGACACACACATATAATAATAATAATAATAATGGACTCTCCCGTCGGTTTCGACGTATGAGGATCTGACAGCTTATTGATTCAGTTATGAAAGTTTGTGCGATAATCTTAAGTGGCATTTAAGACCCGCTAGGGATTTACAAAGGAGACCACATATGGAGCAAGAGTAAGGATTATGAAATGAGATCACTGTTAGATTGGCTGACCTTTTAGATCTTGCTCTCGCGTCTTGAAGATGATTCAGACAAGCAGATTGAAAATTGCTGAGTCCACTAAAACACGTTGATCTCCATTCTACCCGCTCCAAGGCTAAGCGCTCAAGGGTGTTATGAGGTATATTGACTGCTGACAAGTTGCTTTTCAGCTTGTCTTTGTATCTTAGCCATGGGCGTCCCACATTCCTGTAGCCCTGATCTAACTGGCTGTACATTAGGATCTTGGGTATCCTGTCATCAGACATTCTCAAGACGTGACCAGTCCACCGTAACTGAGACTGTCTGAGAAAAGTCTCGATTCCTCCAATATTACACCTGTTTAACAGGTCTACGTTAGATGTCCTATCTTGAAGCTTAACTCCACAGATTGCACGCAGACAGCTTTTATGGAAAACATCTAGCTGGCACACACACACACACACACACACACACACACACACACACACACACACATATATATATATATATATATATATGTGTGTGTGTGTGTGTGTGTGAGTGTGTTGGTTCAGACATCGGAATCAACACCACGGAATCAAAACTATCTATCTATCTATCTATGCCTGTGATATATATAAATCTTATATGTTATTTATAAGGATTTTTTTACAGTTTTCACCGGAAACCAGGAAATTTTTCCGATATAAAGTAGAAATAAACGAAAAATCCCTAACAAAGAACAGTCTTTGTTCTCTAAACTAAAGTCCCTTTCTACGACTATAATGACAATATCTACGCACAAACTAACGGAAAATCCTCTCGGTCCGTGCTTCTCCAACTGCTACATGTCTCATGCTGAAAATACAATATTTGAACAAGTTACTAAACACAAAATATATGTCCGCTATGTAGACGATATTTTTATTTTAGTGAAAAACAAAGAAATTGATAATCTCAAAACCACATTCAAAAAAAAGCTACGTCCCTAACTTTACCTATGAACTCAGTCAAAAAATAAACTCCCATTTTTATAACACATTCACCAAATCATTATACAAAAAACTCAGTAGAAGTAACTCTTGCTACCTTAATTTTACAAAAAATTCAAAGGATCTAACAACACACCCACAAAATCAAAACTACAAAGAACCAACATTATTTACGAGTAGAAATTCCCTTTAAGGAACTATGTTCCTGATCAAACCAAAGTCATAAATAATTACATTGATCAAACTACTACAGACCTATCTTGACGACTCACGTTACACCCACCCGATCATAGCTATTTAAGCGCACATGATAACCTACCAATCTCGATCCGAATCATACATAGTGGCAGAAAAACCACTCATATATACCACCAAGAAATCCATGGTAGTGTTTACATGGTCTTTTCAAAGACGCTGTACGTCGGGATCAACACCAAGATGTCAGCTTGCTAATAAATCGATTTCGATGAGATTCGAATATGAGTCTCGTAGTCGGTAAGTGAATGTTCTAACCACTCAGCTACCTGGAAGGTAGACAAGAATAATATATATATATATATATATATATATATATATATATATATATATATATATATATATATATATATAATTTTCTCATATAGACAAAACCATTTTACTCAGCTTGGTTTCAGTGGTTTACGTAACCATTTTCGATTTTCACTCGTCGAAGTGCAGTTGAAATGCATTGAAACCAAGTTGCATCTTTATAGTGAGTAAAATGGTTTTGTCTATACGATAAAATTATAATAAATAAATAATTATCGCTCTGCTATCGGTATCGAGGCCTCTTTTGGATTAATACTGGGAACGTTGGAATTTATATATTACTTTCGTTCTCATCGCATCTGGTGTGAGGAACCCGTTTCCAAAGTTTTAATATATATATATATATATATATATATATATATATGGAGAGAGAGAGAGAGAGAGAGAGAGAGAGAGAGAGAGAGATACGAAAAATAAAATAATTAAGAAGCCGAAAATGGACTGCGATAAATACATAGAAATATATACAGATCGATAGAATGATAGAAGGTGATGCCCACACAGAAAAACTCGCTAGTATTCACTTCGATAGATAGGCTGAAAGGGAATGGGTTATCTGGAGACAGGAACAAATCTTTTGGTGTTAAATTGAGTGCAGCTTTGCTTCAGGAAGGCTGTCCAAAGTAAGGAAGTACTTGCGTGACTCACTACCGGGACTTAGATCGTCGCCGGACAAGACTTCCGGTGGCCATTACAGTCTGACTTCCGATCGCTATTAATACCGTGCATGTTCAATATGAAGTTGGCGGATATTTGAAAATGTCGTCCATTGAGTTAGGTTGTTGTGTGTAATTGTTTCCTGTAACAGTATGTACCGATACCCCATCTCTTATATATATATATATATATATATATATATATAGTATATTTAGACACCAAGAATTCATCCAAACAAATTTCGTTAAATTCAACCTACAAGGTCTGTCTGTTTAATTCTTCATTGTATATTTACCATTTCTGCTGAAGATATTGCATAGCGGGATCAAACTGTGGATATACTGCTTGGATTTCATGTTTCGTTCTTTTTTTTTTAATTTTTTCGACCGTCACGGTCATTATTAAGAACTGGGTGTTGTCAGTGTGGTAGACACGAATTTGTTCGTTACATCCTGGTATATTTTTTATTGCGCTGGAATTCAAATATGTTGTTACGGGATGCTGTTATGTTTGGGTAAATATTTAGTCACCATTATGTTGCGGGTGTCAACACTTTGGATTACCGTCGATTCACAAAAGGGAAAGGAGGAAGTATAACAACAGACATGTATATCCTTACTTTTTTCACCCCTCAAATCCCTAAATATATAACATAGGTCTAATATATTCCTGCTCCACTAAGGTGCTTCAAGTGTTAAGATTTTGAGCGTCACTGGGATAGCTGCAGGAGTCGCCCAACATGTGGAAAATGTGGCCAAAGGGATTCAGAACACAACGAAGGAGAATGCCACTATTCAATATACCCACGATGATGCGACTTTTGGAAAAGGGAAATTCTTGGAGGCAAGGCAAATTGTAGAAAGCTACATGAAAGGCTCCTCCTATGCAAAAATAACGCAACGAAGGGCTACAATGAATACCTGACAAATACAGAGCCCTTATTGAGAAGCTCGTACACTTAGAAACGAATGACTGACCCAAATTTTAGTACTATATGAAGGACATATATACCAAGGAGACATTGCAGACTGTCCGACAAAAAAACAAAAAACAAAAACAAAAAGAACAACAAAAAAACAAAAAACAATGAAAGAATTGAAATATTAAATAAAGAAAAAACAAACACAAAATCTACTGCTCAAACACAAACCACTCCTCAAAAAAAAAAATCTTTACGAGTCCCTGGAAAATTTATCCCACAAACAATATTTGCGGATTCAATGAGAGTTCGGGTAAAAAAAAAAAATGAGTAACACAAAACAATAAATATAAAACAAAGACAATGCATGTATTAACAAAATGGAGGAAGAAAAAAAATGAAACTAGATATAATAAGAATATGCTTGTTTGTGTTTGTAACAAATGAGAGAGAGAGAGAGAGAGAGAGAGAGAGAGAGAGAGTATAAAAATCAGAGGAGAAAACCATGAAAATGGACGTGCTTCATTTGGGAATACATTACCCACGTATATCTTAAAACCAGAACTGCAAAGCTGTAAAAGAGGCTAGAGAGAGAAATGCACGCCTTTTTATAGACTCAAGCAGCAACGTTTTATTTAAAAAAATTTTTT